CTAATTAACTAAAAAATATCGGTGTGGATACACCGTTATTTCATATATATATATATATATATATATATCTTCACTGATTTAAAAAAAAATATTTTAATTTATCTTTTTATGTGCTACACAAAACAATTAAAATTGTTAAACTTTATTTCATTAAATAATATACGGAAAAGGAGGTAGAAGACAAGGACAATAGTTCCAGGGCCTCAGACAATTAAGGACCAGGTTGAAGCTTCTAGCAAAAAAGGTAGTGTTTTGATTTAAAAAAAAATTGTAAACAATTCTATTATTAATTGTTAATTAATTCAAAAAATTAATAAGCATACATTTAGTTTTCAGTTGAAATAAGCACTAATAAAAACAAGGAGAAATTAATATTTTAGTATGTTTATGAAGTAAGATGTTTCAAAAATCAAAGAGTAAACAACAATATTGAAAAATGTTTTTTTCTTTTGCTTTTTAATTTTTAATATCTAACAGAATATAAAAATTAAGACTTTTTGTGTTTAATACAGTTACAGTAATGTTGCAAGTTAACTTTTACAACATGGTTAGGAATAAAATTAGGCTAAAATGTTTTCCAATAATGTATAGTTTTCATAAGGTGATTTTTATAATTTATGCATCAACTTTTGTCTTATGTATAACTATTTTCAAGTTTTATAGATTTTAAATTGTAGTTTTAAAAAAGAAAGTTTTTTTTTAAAAAAAAAAAGCAAAGTTGCCTTGCAGAGTAATTTAAACTATTTTTACTCAAATATAGCCTTTCCCCCCTTTACGTTTACAAGAGAAAATGATTCAATAAAATATTTGTATTTTTAAACAATTAATTAAATCTCTTATGATAAGTCATAATTCCTTTTCACCCTTATTTTTGCAGAAATATTTTTTTTAGATTGTGTAGTATTTTTAAAATGTTTTTTATTTCTATCCAGAAAGTTTAATTGAGAATTACTTTTGTTAAAGCCAACACGGCTGTTACCATGTTGTGTAAGTGACAATACATTAGTTAAACTATTTTTCTTAATTAAATAATAATTACCTAATTGAAATGGATGGATAGAATTATTCAATACTTTTGATAGAGAAAAAATGATAACTATTTTTTTAACTCTAATTTCATTTCTGTGGCTAACTTCTAAAACACTTCTTAAAGAAAAAAAATGTGGAATTTTTATCAAATTTTGCGGGTATTTTAATAATTTATTGAAAAAAAAAAAAAACTGATGTCACAACTTTAAATACAGATTTACTTGGGGGTTCTAAAGCCGTGTGTCATAAAAGGATACTACACATTAAAACACATTCTTCAAAAGTATTGATTTCAGAATTTGTGAAGAAAACATCATGGATTTGTACCTGATTATTAAAAATAAACAAATAAAATTGCTTTAAAAAATAATACTTTCAATTGTAGCATCGGCTCTGTGTGCAAAATTTGTAAACAGTTATTGTTGAAACAATTTTTTTACAAAACATTTCAGACATATTTTTCGCATATATTTAATTAAAAATTATGAGATAAACTCTAAAACTGTGAAGTTACCCATTATATAATATTAATTTATGATAAATTTTAAAATCAGCTTAGCTCACCTCAAAATTTGGAAGTGGTTTCAGAGATCAGAGAAATGAATAAATTGCAGTTGGAACAGATTTCAAGGCTGAAACATCATTACCTGTTTAGAAAAAAAAAGTATTATTATCAATAAGTTTATTACTGAATTTTCATTTATATAATTTTGTTTACAACTCTTATGCATTTCTGTTTTTTTCTTATTTATTTAAAAGTAATCAAATTTTGATTGGAAGGAAACCTAATTTTAAACTCTCAAATTACATCAATTCAATTTACTTGAGAAATAATATGTCACTTAAAAAATAAAATATAATAACCAAATTGAAAAAAAAAGTATAAAAAATTTAATAAAAAATTACTAATGATAACAGAAGATAATGTGACTATTTTTTTAAACATATTTATTTAATGAAAAATTTAAAACAAAAGTTTAACAATTGATCATTAAAACTTCATGACTTCAGTAATTTAAGTGGATTGATTTATATATGATGAAAACATCATATGTTAAAATGCATTATCATAAGATATACAATGAATTCTAATTAATTCAAAATGATGGATTGTTTCAACCTCAGTTCCACCATAATTGCATATAATCATCATAGTAAACCAGAGAAAAATTCAGGACATCTTTTGCAACAGTATACAGACTACATACTCTTAAAAAAGGCAAACAACTAATTAAAAAAAGTTATAGTTTTCTCTACTTAAAGGCAGAATTTAATATAGAGTAATAATAAATTACTTTTTTAATTTCAGAATTTCTTTGTTATATTTTGCAATATAACTTTATTATTGGAGCACGGAACAACTCATAATAGTTAGAGATCAATGTATAGAAAATCTTTACAGTACTGTTGCATTAAAAAAACAACAAAAAAACCCAGTATGAATTAGTTTATTTCCTCATACTAATATTTAATTAAAATTTGTAATTGAGTTATAGTACAAAAAATGTATACAAAATGTATACAAAAAATGTTTGTTATATACTTCCTTAATTTAATAATTATAAAGCTTGGGTTTCAATAATCTTGACACGAAAATACAACAAACATGCTGCATAACATTTTTATTTTTACAAAAGTACATTAGTGAATGATCCCACAATTTATCATTTAAAAATTCTATGATATAATCTTTTTTGAAATAAGAAAGAGAAGAGCAAATCAATGATTAGGGTAGCTACTAAACTCCATCCTACAATATATGTTATTGCATTTGCCTATAACAATAAATAATCATATGACCACTGAATTAATTCATTACCATAAAAATGTGACTATATAAAATTATTATTTGAATTTTTTTTAAAACCACTGAATTTCCAAAAAGTTAGAAACAATGAATCCTGTGTTTAAGGCTATATGATAGTACCATGTATATAATTATCAAACAGTCCCTAAATCTGAATTATTGGATTTTGTGATTTTTAAGCATCGTTAATTAAGATTAAAAGTTGCTGGATTGAAAATAAACTTCGATATCGATATTTCGAATATATTATTTAAAAATCTCTATTTTTATAAATACAAAATGAGTTGTTCTGAACATACACAATGTTAGAACAAAAAGTTAAAACTCAAGACGATTAGGAACAAAATATTTTTATCAGGAAAATCTGGAATAACAGGACAATTTTGAATCCCATGCTTGTGATTTGAATGCTGAAATTTACTTCTTAGTTTGAATTTTTCTGTGTGAATTTATTATTACTGCAGAAAACATTAGAAAAGTCTCTTTTTTAAGTACCCATGGAGAGCGAGCCAAATTTATAAAATAGGTAGGTAACATAAGAGCAAAAAAACTTTAATTATTTAATGGCTCTTCTACTTCTTTGGTTAAGGAGTATGATTGGTATTCATTCTCAATAAAGATAGAATGCGTTTCCTTTATTTTATCTCATTTATTTATTTTTTGCAGAGGCAATATTTTAGCGTCCACTAAAAGACCTCAATACCAGTGGGTCATTTCAAAGCATTTGGAATGTTTTTTGACCCATTTAACTTTTGTTCTAAGCCTTTTTCCAATTAATTATGCATATAAGTTCAGAAGAACCATACTTATACTCTATACACAATTAATTTATAAGAAGAATTTCGATTTTTGAAGAGAAAGCGGAAAGAAAATAGCAGTTCACGTCTTTTCTTTTTTTAAATAGTATATTTAAAGAATATGAGATGTTTCTTCAACCTATGCAAAAATCAAAGTAAAAATCACAGCAAGTTTGTTAACTGATATGCTTGTTTATGTTTGTTAACTGCTTGTTGAAACATCAAAAAAGATAATCTGAAAGCATATGTGACTTGGATGTATTTTTAAACGGCATCACGAAATGGTATCTACCTTTAAAGTTAAACATATTTAATTTTTGTACTAGAGTAATTCAAAATACTGTAAAATTCAATTATTTTTATATTCACTTTTTAGTAAAAATAAAGACTCAAAATAATAAGTAGAGACTCAAAATAATAAGTTTAGTAAAGACTCAAAATAATCAATTGTAAATACATTTTGGTATAAACTTGGTCACCTTGTAGTCTTTGATATTTTTTTTAATTTTAAGTATCAGAATTCTTATCAAATCAAATGCTTACTTAAATTAAACATTTAAAATATGATGTAGCAGAGTTGCAACTAAGTTAAGAAAATAGTAACAAACCTAAATACTTAGCAACTTCTTCAGATGACATATCTTCTTGCTTTTTAAGATAAATTTCTCTTATTTTCTTCAAACTATCACAGTAAGGAGTTTTGCTCTAATTAAAAAATTAATCTTTAATTTAGATAAATACACAAGATAGATAAATAGACAAGTCAAATAATTAATAATTCAAAATGTTATTTATGTCACTTTTGCAATAAAATTTATACAGCAAATAACCACATTTTCTATTTTATTCCATTAGTTGTTTATGTCTGGCTTAATAAAAAAAAAACATGACAAACACTTAATTTACTGATTTTTTTTTCAAGTAAAAAATTCAAGTTTGCTGATAACTATGATACATAATATAGGGTATGTCCAGGATAGAGGACAAACCTCACATCAAAATAAAAGTACTAAGAATAAAGACTCAAAAAATGTTTATGCATATTTTAAACTATGCACTCAATCCATTTTGACCAAAAAATAATGAAATATTGAAAGCAAAATATGAAAATTTTTTAGATTTCGGTAAGATGTAAGATTCTTTTGAGGAGGTAAAAAGGATAACATGTTGGTCTGTAGAATCGGAATGAAATATGTAGGTTTTGTAGGATCCTTAAAAAATTAAAAAAAGTGGTTTCAATATTGTAATAAAAAAAGTAATGATTTCTTTTTATTAGCTTTCATCTTAAAATTACAAAATGAAAATTATTACCAAAACCAAAAATTTTGTAACTAGCTCTTTATTATTATTTGGAAATATTAAGCATAGGGGGTGAATACGAATTAAGATACATCTTGCTTTCTCACTTTTTTTAACCACCTTTTAAACTTTTTAAGGACCTGGCAATCTCTGTGGTGTTTATATGCTTTAATAAAGAGTGGTCCTAAGTCCTAAAATTAAAGATGAGATGGTCATTGAATTTATAGCCCCACTACATTATATTCCTTTGCTTTTTGCTCTCAAGTAATTTGACAGACAACTATTCTCTATCTGAATAAAGATATTTTCTTTATTAATTCAGATTCAACACCTTAAAAATCAAGAGAGTAACTAAAATTCGGAATACATAGTATTTACTAATTTCGTTGGGGGAAAGAATAAAAGTTAAATTAGCTTTGAAATTTTTAACTATCAATAACACTTTAATTATTTGAGTGAAATTACAACTTTGCACACACAAGTAAAAACCTTAACCAAATATAATTTTACTCAAAAACATAATTTGAAATCATTAAAATATTAATTAATTTTTGTTATTCAATCAAAATCACAATTTCTTGTTCGTTGTTAAAATGTATAATGTACGTTATTAGAAGGCAGTTTTTAATAAAAAAATTTATGAATGATGGCTTACATACAAATGATTAATGATTTATACTTTATTAAAATAAAATGTTAAAATAACATAATTAAAAAAGTGTCAAGTAAAAACTTTATAAACTAATAATCTCATATTGTTAAGAATAAAAAATTTTGCTTTTTTATTTTGTTAATAAAATGTATGCTAATTTTATTAATGCAACTTTGAGAAAAATTAAGATCTTCACGATTTACTATGTACATAGAAAGTCAATTGAACTTTAATCTTTAACTATTCACACCTACAATAAATCTTTGCATCTAGTCCCATCGTACCTAATATTCACCTGTGTTTCTATTTTTTTCATCTTTTCTTCAAGTTCAGAAATGAATTTTATAGGATCTAGTTCCTTAGAAGAATCCAATTTTAGAGCTGAGTGTACTGCTAAGCACTGTAATATTGCTCCATTATAACCATTAGGATGAGTGTGAGTTACAGAGGAGCACTGTTCCACTGCATTCTAACAAGGAAAAAAAAAAGACACTTTTTAATTTTGAACAAAGTCAAAGATAACATCTGGAATAAGAATATAAAAGCTTTACTTAGAAATAAAAAATCATTTTCAGAAATAATAAAAAATAGATAATTGATACATTAAAATAAATAATTATTTATTTTTTAAAAATTAGCAAGAAAACTGTGTTACAAAGATTTGAGACAAACAATTTCACACAGAAAATGCTTCAGTAAATTAAATATAATTAAAAGAATATCATTGCACATAACTATTCAAATATTACTAGGATCTGCTTCAAATACTCAAAAAAAAATCTGCTAGAGGGATAAACAGGGTGTCCAAGGATTATTGGGACAAACTTTTGAGGATATCACAAATATTCAGATTTACATAGCCATCCATGGTCAGAAAGGTCTTCGTTCATCACTAGATGTTGTTGTTAACAAGATCATTCTATAACTGTAGTTGAACAGCCAACCCAATTTTATGGGTTTACGACTACCACCATTCAACTCCGTAGCCTTGTAATTTTGAACCCAATCCAGAAGATAAAGGAACCCTTGGATCGAGTATTGGTCGAAACTTGTCTTTGTGCAGGACTTTTTGATGGAGCTAACCCGCATTTGCGTTACATGGAGAGAAAGACCACGTGAACCTCCCACGGTTAGTCTGACGGCAAGGGGACTCTAACCCACGATCTGTCTACCACTGAGGATATTTCACGTCAGCACTGTGGTCGATGCAAGTTGGATGCAGAATTCGTATCGACTGGGATTCGAACCCGGTTCGCCTCATTGAAGGGTGAAGGCTCTATCCCCTGAGCCATAACAAGATCATTGGAGGAAACAGACCTGCATTGCAGAAGTTATTTGAGTAGTCATCTCCAAAGGAGGAGTATGTAACGTTTCACAAACACTGAGTTGACAGATATGCACGAATTGATAGAGGAAAAGGCACAAGCAGCAGAATGATGATACCACGTACCCAGAGAGCTGTACTGGACCACTAGATGTTTATTAATTTTCATTGGTTGACAACAGTGTAACGCATGCATCGCAAGCAATGGTTAAAACTTTTAACATCTTTTGTGACATTTTCACACATCATCTACCACAGCACATGTAATATCTTTGACCAATGAATATTTTAGATGATCTCAGTCATGTGTCTCTTTGTTTCTTGTATCTGTCATACTACTTTCCCAAGACGTTGCCGACTATTGGTTGCTATGCAATTCTGAATCCATGTGAAGTCTCTTACTTCCCTTAAAGTTTTCCCCTATAGTCCTGGGACACCTTGTATAATAAAAATCATCATATAGTTAAATAAAAAAAACTCATCACTTTTATGAAGTCGTCCTCTTTATCATGAGCAAATAAGGCAACAGGTGCGATTCTCATAGCAGCTCCATTACCATAAGATCCAGATCCATTGAACTGCATTTTAGCAGGAAGAAACACGTCTTGAAATTCTGTCTCCTTCAGAGTTTCAAAGACTTGCAAAACATTCATACCATATCCTCGTGTTGGTTGATCAAAATATACATTGACAAATCTGTATTATTGAAAGAAAGTATAAGTTTAAAAGCTTTGTCACAAATTTTAAAATTAATTTATATAACTAATTAATTGCAAAAGTCAAAGGAAGAGAATACAAGAAACAATTTTGAAATAATAACAAGCAAAATAATTGTAAACAATTCACTATTGTATAAAATCTATTATAACTGAGACTAATAGCGAAAACTTACAAAGTTATATTTTGCATCCAGAAAAAAGTTGATAGATTACAGACAATAAGAAAATATTCTAGTAAACAAAATAGGCATTTATAATATAATAGTACTTATAATATCAATTCTACAATAAATAGGAAATTATTTTTTAAGGAAAACAAATGCATAAAACGTTTTGGAATATATGGGAAAATTTCAAAGTGATTTATTTAGATTGATCATCAACTTACTATTGATTAGAAAAGCATTGGTAAAATAGAGATTATTTTTTACCATCAGTGGAATACACAATCCAGTTGTTAATTTTTATTGCACTAATATAAATAAGCTATTTTATGGTTCATGCTTCTCACTTAGCTTACTAGATCGAGATAAGAAAGCAATGACGAGAATAATTTTTGTGTCACAGCAAAAATGATGGAACATGATTTCATTATAGTACATTTTATATGGTTTTAATGATAGGTATGCCCCAGCACTTGATGTTTCTTAGCCGTAATATTTAATTCTTAATTATTGTTGTGAGATATAAAGATTTGCTTCTCTTTAAATTTCTACCAACCTAATAAAAATGGCTTCTAAAATGTACAAAGACAAGAAACAATAAATTAAATCATCTACTGTAAAGTAAAATATTTTTCCAATTGTCACTCGCAGTTTGAGTACTTTTAATGTGCAGTATAATATAGTAAACAGAGAGAGTGGTAATTTATTTTTATTTTGTACAGGAGTAAAAATATCTGATTTACTTTGGAAAAGTGGTTTTAATGTTTTAAAAGAGAGGGATAGTTATAATCATTCTAAATTATAAAACAAATTAACAGTTGATCATCGAAAGTAGTGTATTTAATGTAATATATTATTTAGGGTAAAATTGTCTAAAAATTAAATACCGTAAACCGGGGCGAGTCTACCCATCCAGGGGCGAGTCTACCCATTTTAGTTTTATTTAATTTTCCCTATTTTAAATTGCAAATAAAAAATTTTTTACTGACGGAGGACTTAGTTCAGACTCTAAGGAAGATGGCGCTGTAGTAGTTTGATCCGTTTTTATTTATTTGGTGTCTTTTTAACCGACCTGTTCAAACGTCTTTTGAGAGATTTGTATTGAAAATCAGCAAACTTTTAGTTGGTGCTCCGTAAGTATATTATTATTATTACTATTTTCACTTTGGTTAAGTGATAAACTTATCTAAGACTAAGATTACATTAATTTTATATGAAAAAAAACAAAAAGAATGTAAGTTTTGCTGTTGTAAACAAAAAGCCAGAATTCGCGGGGCGAGTCTACCCATTCGTATTTAGTTTTAATAAAGCATAATAATATAATTTAGAACTTTGTTTATATTAAAATTAAGTCATTTTAAATGAATTTGAGTATATTATTTTAATTCTGCATTGATAAATTTATCATTAATAAGAAAATTTATAGGTTAAATATAAATGTAAATATAAAATATGTTTATTTTACCTATTTTTTCAATTTTTATATTACAAAATTAACTTTTTTTATTTAATGCAAGTTAAATAAATTATTATTTATAAATTATTATTACCTCCCAAAAGAATGGGAAAAGGATTTTTCATGATTCCCAATGTTTGAATTTCGATTTTGTTAATAATCTTTAATTATTATTATTTATTAATTATTTAATTGTAAATTTATATTAATTTTAATTTATTTTTATCAACAATAATCAGAAAAAAATGTTATTTTATAATGTTAATGATTATAAAAACAAAACTGTGATCAAAATGTGATAATCGATCAAATACTCAATTTGTGTTATTTTATGAATAAAAAAATGGAATATATAATAAAGTTATGAATTTTACTTCATAAATATCCTATATAGTAACTAAAATAACAATTTAATAGTAAAATTTGATTATTTACAATGTTAACATTCATTTTAGTAGAATGGGTAGACTCGCCCCATACGAGAGATTTGTCAGCAGTTCTATAAAAATATACAGTAACAGCGTAACTGTTAATATTTTCTAAAATCGATTTCACAGCTTTAAAGAGGGATAAATAGCGATTCCGAAACACCTATTAAAAGCCTTTTTTCTTTAATATTTACAAAAGTTTGACCACTTGAAAGTTGACAAACTGAAAAAATGGGTAGACTCGCCCCGGTTTACGGTAATTAATAACTTGATTTAAAAAAATGTTTTTATTTTATTTACAAAAGTTTGGCATATTTTACAAGTATATAATTCTTATTACTTTATAATGCAATTATTTTTAAATTTCTAATGTTAATCAGATTATTTTTGTTAACATATATTAAATTATTTTTTAATTATACGTTTCAAAAAGAAGTATTAAACCAATTACAGAGGAGTTGTAATAGATATATTTATATGACTTAATCTTTAAATAAAATAAAGTCATGGCTTAATTTTTTTAATTTAAATCGGACTGATTTTTTTTAAAAGCAACAACCTTGTTAATTTGTTGTGGAATAAGCTTTTCTATATTTATATTCAAATTAAATTTATCGTTTTTATTCTAGTCTTTGTTTAAAATGAAAACCTTCTTAGAAAACTATTTTTGACCACATCAAAAACTCAATTATGAGCTTCATTTTAAGTTTCAGACCCAAAACGATTTTTTACGAATAAAAAAGAGTTTACCTTTTCGCTAAGTCAATAGGACAGATTTTTTTATTTTCTATCAGGGATTTGGCAACTGATAGCGTCATTGCTGTATCATCTGTATAGGGTAACATTTGCTTTGTTTCTAGAAACATAAAAAGTGAGAGAAAAACAATTAGCAATAAAAATAGAAGTAAAATACAAAATAAAGCTACATGGAAAAGTTCTAAGCCAAAATGAATCTCGTATTTCAGTACTATCATAATAAACCATTAATGGTAAATTTTTGATTCATGTAAGTTTTCGATTAAGTTTAGATAGTTTTAATCATGGATAAAACTGTTACTACTTCAAAAATCCTGTCCAAAACTTAAAAAATCAGACTTGTGTTTAGAAATAAATATTTTTATTCATACCTTAAATAACATATTCTAAGCAATATTTAAGGTTTAATATTAAAAAGCTATTTTCTATGCAAAAGTTTAAAAGAAAATACAAATTTTTTTTATAATTATCCTCAAAATGCACTCCTACATGTTGCCAAAAGACTCAATGGAAACTCTTAGTTATGAAGTTGCTTTGAAAAAAAAATTTTTAACAACAAAAAGTTCTCAAAACACTCAAATAATTATTTATACCCTCATTTTATATGTTAAAAGAAGTCAATGTAAAATTTTATTTTAAAAGCTAAATTATTGGTGGTGCAAATTTCTCTTATTCCTTCGTTACTTTATTATAGTAAAATTATACTCTTATAAACTATTTTTTTCTCTTGTTTGCAAATAAAAAAAAAATTATAATTTGAATTTATATGTTAAAACTTAAAAAAAAAAAAAAAAAAAACCTGCAATTTGTAGCAATAAAATAAAATATTTTCATTTCAATAGTTTGAAAGCTAAAATAACAATATTAAAAATAAAAATTTAAAATAGTTACAATAATAAAAAAATATTTTAACAAATCTATTTCAAAATTCTTTGAGAAGATAAAAACTATCAAATAAAAAAAGAACAATAAAAGAAAAAGTGAAATTTTTGTTCTGTTTTCTTAAATATAGTTTCTAATTTAATACATCATATACTAATAATTATTCAGCATGGATATATAAATTTATATTTTAAATATACTATTAAAACTTCATAGCATTATGATATTGCTGCTATTCCTAGATTTCCAACATATTTTGGCAGCCTAAGAATTTATGTACTTTCTAAAGCTGTGTGAAAAGCAAATTGTTTAAATGAAATGAAAGAAAATTGTAGACATCAGATATTTTTGTAGTCTAAATAACGGAATATCTTTCCTACTCTCTTTTTACCCAAGACTCAAATAATCTCATGCAAATCAAGATAAAGGTGGTCTTAATATCAAATTCCTTGTTATTATTATTAAATTAAAAACAGAGAATTTGTATTTTCTTCAGAAAAATATCACTTGTTTCTTGTTATAACTGTTGTAATATAGTATACACTATTTCCATATTTATTTTCGAAGTATTTTTAATAATCAATATAAATTTATAATATTTATTTAAATTTTTTTAGTACAAAGAAAAAAAAAAAATTCTAAAATATAAGTTAACCTCTAATTAGCTTCAAAATTGTAGACTTTGGAAGTATTTGAGAATTAGTTAACTTATTTCCCTTTTGCTTCAAAACAAATTCTTAAATAACTTAATGGTGATGAAGATGCAAACAAATTTACACTGCTTGCTTCAGATACTTAAACATCTGATGAGACATTTTAGATTTCTCACAGTTTAGATTTCTCACAGTAAACTAAAAAGATGTATGATAAAGAGCTTTATTATTTTGTTACATAAAACTTGTTAATGTTATAATTTCATTACTTTTTTCTGTAAGTATTTATCTTACAGATTTGATTGGAAGATTCGATTATTGGTACCTGTACTAAAAAAAATAAATAATTAAATCTTGACGACAACCAGGCAGTAACACAATATAAATGAAATGAAGCATCACAGAATTTGATCTATTTGAAGTGCATAACTTGTAGTTACCCCCAAGCAAACCACAACATAGTTTTTCTTGCAAGTGCATAAAACCTTTTTGCGCCTTGGCAATCAAAATCGGTATAAACAGGTACCAATAAGGAAATATCCCTGACTAGATACATAATTTTTTTAAGTCACACATAACTAAATTAGCGTTACTTAAATTAACAGATTACTAAACATAATTTAAATGCATCATTGTAAAGGATGACCTCTAACTTCATAGCACTTTAAAGGGCTTAAAAAGTCAACTACTTGAAAATATGGCAGTAAAAATACATTAAACAACATCTTTTTCAACACTAGGGCTATGTCATTAGTGCCTACAGAACTAAATATATACTTGTAAGAGACACGAACAGGTAAAAAAAAAAAAAGATATTATTTGTTTACACCAAAGAAGTTTATTTAAAATCAAATCTTTTTGAAAAGGTTAGTAGAAATTACTTAGCAATAAGCAAAATAGGAGTTTTTGATAAAAAATGTAATATGTACTTATGTAATTCTAGGGTTTTAATGTTTATCTTAAATCAATTTATTGTATGGAAGCAAAGCCCAATTATTTACTGAGTATTATAAAATTTAATTATGAATATATTTTGATAATAATGATTATCTTAGATGATAAAAATTTTAAATATTGAGTGGTAGTATTATATTTAACTCTGAAAAAGTCTTATTAAGAACTATAGAGTATCTTACAAAAAATATTTACCTCCATTTAAAATATTAGTGAAGAAATTTCCTAGCACGCTCTTTGAAATAGGAAAATCACCTTCAAAAGGAGCACCCAGACAATCTCCAATCAAGGAACCAATCAAACATCCTCTAAATTTAGCAGCAAGACCAGCACTTGCTAACACGGCAGTCGCCATTTCACTTATGTAATTAATTAAAATAATCTCAAAAAATAACAATTAAAATATAGGAGATAACTTTATGAATGTTCACTAGCGGAAAATTGGGATGTAAAGAAAAAACAATAAATTGGTTGATTGATTAATTGAATTGATGATAAAATGCTTACAAACTTCATGAATATTTCTGAGGAAAATAAATTTCGCTTAAACATTACTTTCTCTGATACGTTCAAATAAAAACAATTTACAGATGGCGCTTTACAACTCGTGATAGCAACATTTGAATACGTCTTCCGGGGAGAACATCCGTTCCATGTTTAAAATCTTCCTGTTTCCTTCTTTTTCGATTAGCCGTATGTGGATGAGTTAAGACGTTTTCCTTTTCTATAACACTTTTTAATTTCAGGTTGTTAAAAATATATTTAAGTACATGTAAATTTTTTTGCAATGCTTACTTTTAATATTAAATGTAATGTAGCTCAGAGTTCCATATTCGCGAACGCAACGACCTATAATGGGCGTTGTTATTTTTGACTATTAACAGTAGCACTGCAGATTTCTTCAGTGTAGACAGAGGAGGGGGGGAGATGCAAGATATAAATTTTAACATTCATGGATGGTTGATTGTGTAAAGCTAAGCGCAGGTAATGCTGGGAGTCAAAATTTGCAGTGAGGGGGATTGTCGACTTCCGGGTTACTACTTCCGACTGATTTTTATGTCTAAGCTTGAATAAAGGTGCCATCAAATATTATTAGACTTGCAGTGTTTTCAATATAACTCGTTCTTTCAATTTAACTTTCAACAAAACAAACAACAAATGAATTCGGAAGACTCCATAAGCTTGCTATGATGCTACCCAAAATACAACAAATAGCGCTATTTTACACGAATGAAGACAAATTAGTGATAACACTGAAATCATTGCAAACCTTACAGTTTATTTATGCGGTGATATTAATTTTGTTTTAGGCTCACCACCTGTTCGAATTTATAAATTACGTAAAACTCTTATAAATGGTAAAATTACACGTTAATTTAAACACAACTCACAATAATTAAACTTCCTTGAACAGTAAGCTTGTTTACATATCGCCTCGTAAGCACAACATAAGCTGAGGGATACACCGTAAATTTTCCAAATTTCTTCCAATCTTAGGAAACTTGTTATTGTTTACATTCAGTTAATCATCCATATCAATATTTTTAAAAATATATAAGTTTTAAGAGAGATAAAAACCGTTTCCAATTTGAAGTGCTATGCGATATAAGATTGTCGTATTATATCATTAACGAGTAAATTGAAACGAGTAAAACATGCAATCTGTATTTTTATGTTTTAAATAATTTTTAAGTTTTAATAATCAAGGTAATTGTTTATTTCATTACGATAAAAATATTAACAGAATGTTTTTTAGATAAAATTATGATAACATATTTTATTAACATAATTAACGTAATTTTTTGAGAAATATCGGCTTTTAATAAATAGAAAAGATTATGATGAGGAGCTATTCGGGAGTTGATGAGTGGGATATAATAGTTAGATAAAATTTCGCTTGATTTTGTTTACTATTTCTTGAGTTCTTCGTTAAAATATGTTGCTCCATGGTTTTGAACATGAGTGTATTTTGTCCATTTTAAATAAAGAACAGTTCATATTTTCCGTTTAAAGAAGAAAAACTATAGTATTTAATGTATATATCTTAAAATAGATATTTTATATTGAAGTTTCAGTTAAATAATGAGCATGGTAAACTAAAATTTCTGATTTATTTAAAAACAAAGTAACAGAACAGCAAATAAATATACTACATCCTTAAAAAGTATTGGAGTGTGGTAAAATTCAGTTTGAGTTAAACAAACTGCAGAAACTCAATTATTAAACTCAACTATGGAGTTATTTAAACATTTTTCAACTTGATTAAACTTTGCTATGGTTCAAGTTGAAGTTGCTAAAAGTTGCAATAATTTTGTACAATAGACTAGTTGAACAGTTGAACTGGCATATATGTAGTTCAATATATAACCAGTTTTTTTTAAGCTATGTGTTACCAATTTAAAACATGGGCCTTTTCTCTTTCATTACAAAATTCATCAAATAATATTCAGGCTTGAGATACTTTTAGTAGGTCATCAGCTAATTTCACCACTTCATCTATTTTCTCACACCTGCGCTGGAGATTATGGGGAATTTCGTCTATACCATAATAGGCGCCAGCTATGCTTCCCGTCATCGAAGCAATCGTATCAGTATCACCGCCAACTGATATTGCAAAGTACATTGCCCGAACAAACGGATTTGTGCTCTAAAAAGAATTGTAACTATTATTATTAAAATTCAAACATATTATATTAAAATACAAACATTTCATATATACACCTATCTATTGATAGGTGTCTAACTTAAGGGTGAAAATTAAATTTCATACAACAATACTTTTCAACAAAATAGACAGATAAAATATATAGAAGTTAAATACAGTATATTACAACATTATCACCTGACTTTGCACATGTTCAGAAAGAGAGTTTATCGATAGATGGTCATGACTTTAAAAAAATTAAATTAGGCAGGCTGTATTGAAATGTTCATTAAGTTTCACAAATTGAGTTTGAACAGCAAGCATGGTTTTCTTCACTATGTCAAATTGCCTGTCACTGTTACATTCATTTACTAAATAATTAATCAAGACCTGCTTTTCAAACTAAACGGAAAAGCCTGGTATACTGTAGCGTACTAGAGTGTTTTTATAGACAGAGTCCGTTTATACATTTTGGATGCTCAAATCAACAAACAAGTCGTTTTTTCCACAGTCAAATATCTTCTAGTCCCGCAGTGGACTGGTCGTTAAGACACGGTTCCCAGCAGATCACCGAAGTCTTGCATCACTGGCTGCAGTCAGTGTGCGAGTGGGTGACCACTTGGATCAGTCTGCGTAGGGGCCCAGGGTGTGCGGTATTGGTCCTCGTTAAACTGTGCTACCGTAAAGTGCTCGAATTCGCTCGCAGGTCGTCGGGCTACCGAAGCGGGGGTGCCATCCCCTTCGCAGAGGATCAAAATTGTGATGGCATGTCTTCGGATCATCCTCCGGGATGTTTCCCAGACCGTCGTCAATGGCCCATTGTGCAGCTCTAGTGCGACGTAAATTAACAACAACAACATCTTCTAATCAAAGCTTTCAGTGACGTCATGAGAAAAGGACCTACTTTTTTTTATCTTAAAATTATGATTTACTAGTGAGTGCCGCTCCCTGTTTCTTTCTGACGCTCGCTAACCTCTAAAGATTGTGCTGCGTGTCCTCTAAAGATTGTCCTGCGTATTATATGGTTTATTTTACGAACCAAGCTAGCTTTGTTAGTCAGATTACCTACAGAAAATAAATATTTTATTCTATGGATGGTGTTTTCTACACTAGGAAGCGCTGCAAGCTCGGGACTGCCTAAATTTCCGGGTAACTGTTTCAGTTGTATTTTAAAGCCATTTGGCATCATTGTGTTTTGAGATTCTTGCAAACAATGCATTTGATTACTTATTACTCATGTTTACAATGCTAACAATACTTGTGTTTACAATACTAAAAGTGTTAACACTAACGTAAGATGGTGCACAGCTTGCAACACGAACAAACTGTAATAAACAAATGGAAAGAGGCCAAATCAAGACTGCCAAAAAAGCGAGTTATTCAAAATCTAGCAACCATGTCACCTTTTTTAATAATAAATAACAAAATAACTAAAACAAATTTTCACTCCAAACTCCCCAGAATTTCATAATAACATTAATATTTTATGAAATACGGCAGATTTGAGCTCAGAAATTATCTAGTTTATTTCTTTTATTGAAAACAAAATTATCCGTTTGAAAACACCGCCTATCAGAATAACATGTAGTAAGCAGCTGCAAACTTTTTAACCGGAACTAGAGTAGGTCCCAAGCTCGAGATTGTTATTGTTTACATTTCTATTGAAAACACCATCCATATAGCACTAAAATTGAATGCTACCAAAAGAAGAAAATAATAATTTTAGCAAATCTTCCTTACAAAATCCATATTGCTTGTATGCCACAGAAATAATTATAGATGCTAAGCAACAGGGATCGTTACTGAACAGAATCATTTGTAAAAATAATTGTGAAATTAAAAATATCCTTAAACAAGAAGTATCACTAAACATTAAAAATTTTCTTTGAAAACATAATTCTGTATTCCGGAGCTATCACTATAAGGATGTCAAATGACCTAACTCATGACAATAGTCCTTTTTTAGAGTTGCGTCTTTCATATTTCTCCTCAATGCTTTATTCTGCTCTTTCAGGGCACTTATCTATTATATTAAATAGGGTAGTAGCACGACTACTTTCCATTTTTATTTGTAATTTAATGTTCATTTTTTTTGTTGCAATTGTCTATTAAAAAAAAGCGTCTTATATTAGTGAATTTTTGAAAATCCACATGGAAACATAATTCCACAAAACATGTTTTGGATATATTCTATGGCACCATGCTGCAGCAATCGTCAATCATGTTGAAATCAAGATGACGAATGTTAATCATAACCTAAAATATCTATTTAAAATCAGGAGGGTGAAACAACAACGAACTCCATTAACTCAATTCAGAATAATTTATTTCCTTAATTTAGTAAAAAAAAAAAAAATAAATAAAAAAAAGGCAGGTACAGAAATAGTCCTGTCAAGTATTTTAAAATCTAGAAATCGTTTTTTCGCTTTAGAATTAGGTGTTGATAATCAATCAACATAGAACATCTTTAAATTTTATTAACTATATTTGAAGACAGGGACAAAAATGCATTGAAATATAAAAAATGAAATCTGCATTATGCCTATTAAAACACAGTGTTAATATATATATATATATATATATATATATATTCCCCTATAACATTCAGTTTCAACATTTCATCTTAGTTTACCAAAAAAAAAAAAAAAAAACGNGATACAGCTGTAATCAAAATTTTTTGAAAATTGTAATCATGATTACAAGTAATTGATTACTGTAATCAAAAAATGTAATCGATTACATTTTTGGCCAACTCTGCAATATATATATATATATACACAATATATTAAGGATTTAAAAAATATACAAAATATAATATATATAAAGGATTTTAAAAGTACACAAAATTGATCATGCACTTAAAAATTGTCAGTTGACGGTAACAAAACGATGGCAGGGTCTGTTATTTCTCTGTAAAAGATAAAAAAAATTTTTCTGAAAAATGTGCTCACCTCAAAATTGCGAAGTGGTTTCAAAGATTTGAGAAATGAATAAATTGCAACTGGAACAGATCTCAATGCCAAGACATTATTACCTATTTAAAAACATTAATAACATAAATGTAGAATCAATATAACATAAGTAAAACCGAATTTATGTTTTTGTTATTCATACGAAAATTAATGTTCTACTGTTTCTTTTTTGTTACTTTCATACGAGATTTACGAAATATTAACATTATATTAACAGCACTATAATATACAACACTTACTCAATTATGCAGTTAAAATGACACACAGTGAAATAAATTCTATTTTGCATGAGTAAATGTAACTTTTCTAGTATTTATTAATAACTTTTGTAGTTTAGGGAAAGTCCTTTTTGTACTGATTCCCTTTTTCATAAAAAAAACTTTTTGCTTTCTCATTTGACAAATTTATTAATATCATAAATATTTTAAAGACATTCATGTTTGTCATAGATGTGCAAAAATGACTATTTAATATCATTATGCTCTGTTTCACAAAAAATATTTTGTGATGTTTCTTTACACATTCAGTGTTAATATGACTGCTGTTGCTTTTGTAAATGTCATTACAATAAAGTGCGTTTATGGTTTTAAGAAATGTATTAGAATCGATTCATGCAATGATGCAGTCGAAAGGGTATTAATTAAACAAAACACATATTTTAGAAAAAGGCAGTTTATTGTGAAAAAGGAACCTATTGATTTATTTCTTAATTAATACTTAATATATATATGAAATATTAATATATATATTAATGTAATAGAGTATATATTGCACTCTATCAGGGTTTTCTAACTTCTCCATTCTTTTACTTTAATCAATGTATAAATAAAGATAACTTTAATTTTGCAATCTATTTTTTCTGCACATAGATTCTGAATGAGATTAAAATCTGGAGAGTTTCCTGGCCATTCTAAGACAGCTACTTTGTTTTTGTCTTTTTTCGGAATTATGACAAGGAACCAAATTTTTTTGAATAATTTTCTCCTGTTTAACTTAAGTCTCATTCTTTCTGTCATTATTTTATTGTATAGATTGCTGTTCATCGTTCCCTTAACAGGAACGAGTGATCCATCCCCGTCTTATTAAAAGCACCTCTAAGACATAATCTTTCTCTAAATTTGGAAAATCCAAAAATTTATGCTTGATTCCATTAATAAACTTACTACTATCTAACATAAGGTATTAGTTTAGACTTTATTAACGTAGTTCTGTTTTCTATTATGTTAGTCAATAATAGAATTCTTATTCAACCCAATAATCAATTGTTTACTACTGTTCTAGATTTTTAATTTGAGGTGGTAATGGAAATTTGTTTCGTTTATGGTACGAGATTGAAGAGGGTTGTTTGTTTGTCTCGTTTTAGTTTTAACACAATTCGCTTTTAAGCGCGCATTCTTTTCTCACAAAAAATGTTATTAACTAGACGATTTGAGAAAAATAACTAATTCAATAAATCGGTTTATTTTATTAAACAAAAATCCGGATTTATTTGATTACTATTATTTACTGACGGTAATTATTATAATAATACCCGATTAGGGTACATAGGAAAAACGCCAGGGTTGGGAATATACCAATTAATGGCATTTAATCTTAAAAAGAATATCAATGTAGGCAGTGGTTGAAAGTAAAGCGCTACAAGCAGCGAAATTACTGTAGTAGCTACTTTTTCGTAGTTTGAATTGTAGTGTGCTATTTTAAAAAAAATTGTGTAGTGAGTAGGGCGATATGAATAAACTGTAGTTAGTAGCGATTCCTGGCAATTACATTTTTAATGATAGTTAATTGAAGAAATAAGATTAAAACACAACTAAGTTTCGAATCTGATTGATAAAAATCTTCGCGGTTATGTCAATGAACGCAATAAGAATGTTCCTGTATGGCCAAGCGTTAATATAAATTGTATACTATTATTTAAACTAGCCATTACGAATACTAGCTAATTTATCATTTTAGCCACACCTTCAAAAGCAAAATGTAATTCAAAGGAATTCTTTGTTGTTATTTCAATGGAAAGAAACATTTTTTCTTCATAATTTTCATAATTTTTATTTCTTAAAGCAAATAAAAGAGAATTAAACACTTATTAGAATTGCATATATTGAGAGCAAGAATTTTTTAAATTAAACATCGCTTTTGTGAAAGGTATATAAAGTTGAAGATTAAAAGAGAAAATTCCTAATAACAAAATGGCTCATGAAAACATGAATCCATATTTCCTAATAATTTCTCTTGTTTAAATAAGACAATTTTTTTAATATTCAGAACGGTTTTGAATATGGGTGTGAATTAAATTCTTCTGCAAAGTTTGTCTTCTAAAAGTGCCGACCGGCCTGTGTAGGGGTTAGGGAACTGTCCTTGCATCAGAAAGGTTCTGGGTTCGAATCCCGGGTAAGGCACGGATGTTCCTTCCTTCTCTGCACTATCTGTCCTTGCTGTGGGAGCAACGTTGGCCCACCTAATATGGTGCCCCTGAAAGAGTGGCCAACAAATCTGCCCTTCAGGTGCCTGTATGACCTAGGTCATTATCCAGGTGGGCATTGGAAAAAAAAGTCTCCTAAACGACGTGAAATAATAATTACATTTCAGAAATAGTTTGTAGTCACTACACTGAAAAAAAGTAGTTGCAGTTGACTAAAAAACGTGACTTGAACGTTGACTAAAAACGTGACGTTGTAGTTGACTTGATTGCTTTGTACTAAAGTAGTTCTAGTTAACTACAAAAATAACATAGTTTTTCTGACCACTGAATGTAGCGAATACCGGGCAATGGCTTTTAATCTTAAAGGAACAGCTATGGGATTCTTCCCTCTCCTCAACATTTAGAATGGAACAGCTTTCGTCTACCGCCTCAACTGGTAAGGTACTAATCTGAAGATCGTCATTCTATTAAAAGTGTACAACATTACAAACAATAAAAGTAATAATCAATTGTTGAAAAGTTAAAAGTTCAAACCTAAATGTTCAGCAACTTCTTCATTTGAAATATTGTCTTGCTTTTGAAGAAATATATTTTTTATTTTCTTCAAGCTACTACAGTAAGGAGTTTCTTCCTAATTAAAAAAATAATTATCTTCAGCTTAATTTAATGAACAATTTAAGTAATTTAATGCAAAACGTTGAGAACTTTTCCCTATTAATGATAAAAACACTCGTGAAATAAAATAAAATACAACTAAAACTAAATTTTGCATGAAAATTTTATGTTTTTTTTTAAATAGGTGGAAATTCTGCAAAAATTTGATACGTTATGTTAAAACGTGATTGAAATTTAAGTTTATGCAAGATTCGGAGAGTAAGATTACGCAGTTTAAAGAATGGCATACAATTGTATTTATTAAAATATTTGCTGAATACAAATAAATTTATTAATAAGAAAACTAATAACGTAACATTTTTCCTATGAACATTAAAAGAAAAAATATTTAAAAGTAGTTTTTATCAAATCGATAACGCAAACTCGTCATCTATTTCGCAAAAGAGATCATGAGTGCTAATGAGTCAAAGTTAGCAGGCAATTTTAAAGGGATGTTCTAAAAGAACCCTTGTCTTAAATAATTCTTTTTAGAGAATAATATGTGAATTTTATAGTTGTCGTGATCCTGTAACAGTGATTCCTTATAGTTAGATTAAGTTTTAGCTGTTTTTAGTCAGTGTATTCAATTATAATTATTGACAAGGTGCGTAGTGTCACTATGAAAATTTTTTACAAAATTCTCAAATCAAAATCTTTCAGTTTTGCAAAAAGAAGCGTTAGTGATTTAATTTCTTAATACTTGAAAAGTTTCTCTCACGCGCATCGTTTGGGTTCATAAATTGAGAACTATTAATTGAATTCAATGATTTCCATCTATTTGGAAGAATCTCGCCAAGCTGGCGATATGTGGAAGATATTTTTTGAATATCAGCATGGGTTTTCGCAAAGGAAAATAAAAAAGCCGCAGTATAAGTTCTTTACACATGAAACAAAGTTGTGGTTTTAAACTTTATGTGCCATCATGCCGTGAAGAATTATATGGGCTTTAGAACGGGAAAATGACTATTTTAAAAATTATTAAAGATTTTAAAAATTGGCAAAATTTCTCCACCTGGAAGTAAAATAATTAAAATTAATGTCTTACACATTTTTGCAAATTTTCATTAGCTCAGTTAATGCAACATTGAATAATTTTTTAAATATACACAGTCCAGTCACATTAATGTGACCACCACCTACTTTCGACGTCAACGTGAAATAATCAATCACAGAGTGCATGTGGCNATAAAGCACAAATGCTTGTCATTTTCACCAAACTGTGGCTTTTCCCCATACGTTGAGGTTCTTCTTTTTCAGAATGAACATTGAAGGTGTTGTCTAAAGGTAGGTTAAACGTTATCTAACAATAATCAATGGTCATGAGTAACTGCGGTTTTGAAAATAGTAGCATATTATTTGCAAAAATGCGTTGTTTAATCAGACAACAGAATCTTCGAAAAACAGTATTAAAACTATTTACCCGATTAAAGTCCATACAATTCTCTTGAACCATAAGATAATTTAAAATTAAAACTTTGTTCCAAGTGTAAAGTACTCAAATTAGAGCTTCATCACTTTCCTTGCCTAAAATATTTCAAAGAACACCCTTAAAGCAAATGAAAACAATTACACGAAAATATATTAATAAATTTACTAATAAAATCCGAGCGAGAATAATTAATAATGCTCACCATAATACTTGGTGACATAATGTAATATCATAATGCTAGAAAGTAAAATAGATTTACACATGCGTGTCATACATTTATGACAATTCACAGTACTCTATCGTAGACACTAACATAAAGCTGAAACTCACTTCTTGCTGTGCTGTCCATCGACTAGTAAATAAATCTATTACTTTCCGGAAACCTGTAGAATCCTTCCTTTTGGGACCAGTCTCAGCATCATTGGCATCCACCTTCGTTTCGATCTTTTTCATTTTATCTTCAAGATCGGAAATAAACTGTATAGGATCAAGTTCTACAGAAGAATCTAATTTTAGAGCTGAATGTACAGCTAAGCACATCAATATTGCTCCATTATAGCCATCTGGATGAGTGTGTGTTATAAAAGAGCACTGTTCCACCGCACCCTGATACGAAAGAAAAGAACATTCTAGATGCAAACAAAGGATATTAAAAAGGACAGAAGATTAATTATTTCTTATTCCCCCCTCTATTTATAGTTTTGCGTCATTCCGCTTCACTATTCTTTAAATGCTGATTTAAAACGACGTTTGAATATTCGAAGTTGCTGCTTGCCTATCTACCCTCTTCGAGCCAAACTGCCACATAAGGTCAGATCTTTTTCTTCAAATACTTCTTTCTTAGGCTAGGCCAGGGATGGCGAACCAATGGCACGCGACACAATATTTTGGGCACTCCAGCGATCACAATTGTTGTTACATTATGAATTGTTATTACACAAATGTTATTACGCTATGAAGCATATGTAACAATTAAATTAAAATTCACAAAAAACAANGGCGAACCAATGGCACGCGTGCCATTTATGCCGACACAATATTTTGGGCACTCCACCGATCACAATTGTTAACAATTAATAACAGTAAAAAACAAGCTAACAATAAATAACTAGCAAAAAAATCAACAGTCCTGCTTAAACTAACATCTTTCAACCTAATATAACTTATTGGTCATTTAATCTGCAACAACAGAAGTCATACTGATGTTACTTTAAGTTGAATTGCGTGTATAACTGAGACATTGCAAAATGTATATTATTTTCAATGTACATAAAGAGTTTTGAGTTGATAGTATTTAGTATTATTATTTTCCCAATAATCACGAAGTTAAAATTATTTGACGGCACGTCTATGACCTCATTAAGCAATTTTTTAGAGAAAATGGCACGTTGGTGCATAAAGGTTCGCCACCCCTGGGCTAGGCAATGTGTTTCTTCGACAGGGATTGCCTGATTGACAGGGCGCTGGACTCACGTTTGCGAGAACGGTAGTTCGAATCCAGCCGGCCAAAGACTCAGTAGTAAATGGGGACTGGTACACGTTAAATCTGTCAGGTCACAAAGTCCTATGTATTCCCTGTGTGTGGGTCCGCCCTATAAATGAGTGCGACAGAAGTCGGCCATAGATGAGGTCACTGGAAAACAAAAACAATCACACCCCCTCTACTTTTATGGGCGACGACGACAACAACAACAATGTGTTTCCTCCCATCTTTACAATCCTGATTTGCCAAGGTATTCATATGCACTGTTGTCATGTTATTTTTGGCCTCTCGCCCCCCCGCCGTCAGATGACTATGTGTCTTATAAAGACACAAGAGGCTACTTTATATAAATGACAGGAACAACTCGAATGTCTTCCTATTCAATTTTGTCGAAAGAAATGTCAGAAATATACGGAAAAGTAATTACTTCAATAAAATAATATTTAAAAACTTTAATACTTTAAAAGTAATATTTTAATTTATGTGCCTCTTCTCTACAAAATAAATAAATAAATAATAAGTAAATGTGTAGCTGCCATATACTGACCAAGAGTTAAATAAACACGCGTTTATGAACTTATTAAAATTTTTCGCTCTTCCCATTTTTAAATTTACTATGCATTGCAATGTAAATTTTTTAAGTTTTGAGAATTTTTTTGCATATGTTTTCGATTGTTGTATGTTTTAAATTGCAAATTTTTAGAAAGTTTAAATTTTTAGTGTTTGACACGAAATTTCTGCAATTTCACAAAACAATCAGGCTTTTTTTCACATATTATTTGAATGTGACTGCAATGTGTAGTGTTACGAACAATCCTAACAAATATAATTTTTAGGGGTGCATTTAGTGAAAGGTTACCAAAACTTAGCACAAAAAGGACATACTTTCCGTATTAAATTATGTTAAATAAATAAATAATTAATGATATTAAAGAAAATAAATAATATTTAATGTTCCTTAATAAGACTTTATTTTTAACAAGATGTTACATCTCTTCCATAATACATTCTTATAAATAAAATGCTTTAAATGATAATAGAACCAAAATTAAATAATTTTATACATTAAATAGTTTAAATAATGCAAAATCACAGGAAAAAAGTTATACTTTTAAAAAAAGTATAGAAAAAGAATTACTTTTATAAACTCCTCTTCTTTATCATGAGCAAATAAAGCAATGGGAGCAACTCTCATAGCAGCACCATTACCAGCAGAACCTGTTCCACTAAACGATGTTTTAGCAGGAAGAAAGACGTCTTCAAATTCTGATTCTTGCAAATTTTTAAATATTCTGGCAGCGTTCATGCCATATCTTCGGCTCGGATTTTCAAAAAACTCATTCACAAATCTAGATAATAAGGAGGAAAATATATTTATTTTCTTTGCAGAGAAAGTATTTGTCAAATTCAAATTATCTTTCTATATTTTGAATAAAGCAAATCATAAGCGCCACCGCTACTGTTTTAGTTGTTCAACTTAATATTAAATTTTGTTTTCATGCATAAAATAAAATTTAAGACTTACAAATTTAAAATTACGAAGCTGTTTAAAAAGATTTACAGGTTGTACGATGGCAAAAAAATATTTAACATTCGAAAGTTAGTTCGAGAACTATTAACTGTTACACTTCCAAGAAAAAAATTCTATGTTTGCCGATCTACTGCCCACTGAAATTCAACTTTTATCGTGCTGAAAATTCCATTTTCAACTATCAACTATAAGCGATTTTTTTTTAGTGTTCTTGTTTTAAATAATGCTTATCTATCCATTGTTGCGGAAGAATTTATTTATCTTGAAAGTTTCATTTTATAAGCTCGAGCTCTCGATATATATATATATATATATATATATATATATATATATATATATATATATATATATATATATATATATATATATATATATATATATATATATATATATATATATATATATATATATATATATATATATATATATATATATATATATATATATATATATATATATATATATATATATATATATATATATATATATATATATATATATATATATATATATATATATATATATATATATATATATATATATATATATATATATATATATATATATATATATATATATATATATATATATATATATATATATATATATATATATATATATATATATATATATATATATATATATATATATATATATATATATATATATATATATATATATATATATATATATATATATATATATATATATATATATATATATATATATATATATATATATATATATATATATATATATATATATATATATATATATATATATATATATATATATATATATATATATATATATATATATATATATATATATATATATATATATATATATATATATATATATATATATATATATATATATATATATATATATATATATATATATATNTTTTTCTTCATATGTCTATAATTTTTCTTTGTTTTATTCTACATTTTGAACTTATATATATATATTTATATATAAAAGATAATTAATGAATAAATTACAAGAATAAATAAAGTAAAAAAATAAGAGGAAGTGATTGGAATCTGCCAGAGATAAAGATATGAATCCTAACGTTTATATCGAAATATATGAAAAATATAAAGGTCTAAACCGTTTCCAATTTGAACTTTGATACAATATAAAATTATTGTTAGAATGTTAACAAGTATTATTACTTATCATTTATAACGTCTTATTGTGTCATATTTCCTGCATTTCAAAATTTAAATATTTTTTTTCCAAGTACAATTTAATTTTCGAATCTAAGTATTCGTTCATTTCCTCACGCTTAACATATTAACAAAATCTTCCTACATAAAAGTATAATAATTATATTTTTGTGAACAAAATAATCTTTTCTTTTTTAAGATAAAAAAGAAAGAAAAATGAAAGGCAATCTCGGGGATTAGTGATCGGAGCGTGGAGGGGATAGAGCCTCAGATTAATTTAAATTATAGAAATAAGTTCGTGTAAAAAGTTTAAAGCTGAAGATCAAAATCTTAACACCAGTGGGAAATACACATCTGAATTAATTTTAAACACTTCGTAGCCTAGTAAGCAACCATACAGGTTAAAAAAAGTTATTTTTGTGTTATTAAGTGGTAAAAGCATTTAAAACACTGTGAACTGTCGTCTCTAACAAGATAGGCTGAATCAGCAAATGCATTAAAAAAGTACTTTATCATTAAGTAGGATCATTATCATCATTATTAAGGATTTTCATGTTGCTGATTATAAAATATCGTAATATCAGTGAAACAAAAATAGATATATTAGAAAGGTATAAGTACGTATTATCATCAGAGATGATGGTGTTTTTTATAATATTGAAACTACTGCCTTATTTGAAGAACAACGAAAAAATAGATTTTGTTCATTTTTCTCAAAAATGGCGATTGAATCGCCATTTTAGGCATCTCGAGCATTACCAAGTTCTGACAAATCAGTAACATGTAAAATGACCTTGTACGAGAGTTATTACACAGTGAAGATGGTCATGTTGAGAGGAAAAACAGTTTATGTCCACGCTCAGACAAAAATAAAAATTACGTATTATCATTAAAAGTACGTATTATCATCAGAGATGATGGTGTTTTTCATAATATTGAAACCACTGCCTTATTTAAAGAACAACGAAAAAATAGATTTTGTTCATTTTTCTCAAAAATGGTGATTGAATCGCCATTTTAGGCATCTCGAGCATTACCAAGTTCTGACAAATCAGTAACATGTAAAATGACCTTGTACGAGAGTTATTACACAGTGAAGATGGCCATGTTGGGAGGAAAAACAGCTTATATCCACGCTCAGATAAAAATAAAAATGAAAAGTACAGTGAAGTAGATGAGGAGAATAGTAGTGAGGAAATATAGATAATGGAGGAATTTTACGAAAATAAAGGTTCTTGTCTCCCTCCCCCCGATTTTCAAATGTTTTTTTCAATTCTATAATTGTAAATTTTGTTTTGAAATTTTTAGGGAATGTAAATAAATGCTTGTGAAATATATATATGTGTACGTATATCTTTCTATTTTAACGATTTCCATCGAATTCTTGCTCCTAAAAATTCTCAAAAGCAAAAAAAATATTTTTCCCCATGACATTTTACATCCGCTTAATGCTAATTTGAATTCCTATGTGGAAAAAATTCTTCTTAATATCTTGTTTTATAGAACTTTTGCTAAAACAAAATGAATTCCTTCGGAAAAATGCAATGCAAATTTAATGTAAAACGATTCTTTTCTATTTAATGCATAATTATTTACCTCTTACTTTTAAAAATAAAATTAAAATTGTTTTATTTAGACTTTTAGTCAACTATCAATACAAACGTATTTATTAGTAGTTATTCTCAGGTATCATGACTCTATTTTTTAGAGTAATATTTTAGAATATATTTTTTATGTTATTTTCAAAAAGCGATAAATAAAAGAAATCATACTTTTCAGCCAAATCTGCAGGACAGATTTCTTTATTTTCAATAAGCGATTGGGCAACTGATATTGTCATTGCAGTATCATCTGTATACGGAAGAATTGGTTCTGATTCTGTAAATTACAAAGAAAAACAATTTTCAAAACTTTTAAAATGAAATTCGTATGAAAAATAATATGTTTAGTGCTTAAAATATATAAATAAATAAACGGGCCTGCGTGAATAACTTTTGATCGAAATCTAATGAATAATGATCTAATAATCTTAACTTTCTAGGATTCATTCTTAATTATTGAAGGGGGTAAACTCAAATATGGTAATTAATTAGTGCTACCGATATTTTATGTCACTGAATCAGACCCCAAAACGTATTTTTTTAAATAAACATTCTTTTTTTATGATGAATTCGGATTTCTGACCTCCAAATTATAAGGGGTAGCCGCAATCGGAAAAATTTTGTTACCAAATTTTGGTTAGGATAGGGATTTAAAGTATTGACCCCCTAATGTAAATTCTACTTTTGCGTATTTCGCCATGTCTCGAGAACTTATTAAGCGAACTTAAGATTTTTTACATACGATTATAAAATTCAAAGATAATTTTATGCAAAAAACTATTTTAGTAATGAAATTTTAAAAATACATTTTTTAAAAATTTCAATTTCTCATTAATTAATCAACCAATTTTGTACTTTACCGATCGTTAATATCTTTTAAAATACTGTATATTTCACAATCCAAACATTCTTCTATTGTTATAAAATAAAATAATAAATATTTATTAAAAGTCATATTTTGCACGAAATTATCTTTGTATAAGTGAATTTTATAATTTTGAGTAAAATTTTTTCCATTCGTTTAAAAAGTTCCCGAGATATGGCTAAATACGCAGAGAATAAAGTTAACATAAGGGGTTAAAACTTTGGGGTAGTGATACTGATAAAATAACTAATCTCACGCACCGGCGGTAAATAAACACAAAAAATACATTAAATTTGGAGTACATATTGAGTTGAACTTTTTTATTTTGAATGTTAATAATTGGAAACTTATTAGAAATATTAATTCAAAATTAGTTCCTTTTTAAAATTTAGTTTTCATATAAGCATTCGCCACCTCGCAAATGCGATAAAATCGTAAATTTGGTGAATAAAATTGTGTCTTAGCGAAAATTTTTACCACCAGATAGAAATATAAATATTTAACTCCATTCTCAAAATTATGTCAAAATAAAGTTTTCTAAACAAATCAGTATTTTTTTATTAGATTACAGTAATTTTCGGTATATGCAGCCTGATAAGCAATTAGAATTGGGTCCAAATAATATAAGCCTAAAACAAACTACTGTGAAATAGTTTTCTATGGGAAAAAATTAATCGTAAAAAAACTGTTAAGATTTGCATTTGGCGAAGATTTGCATTGCGTTCTCGAAAATTGGAGAATACTTTTGATATTTGGCTAATTTACTGGCTAAGAATTTGAAATCCTTAGAGCGAGGGCCATGCATCTAGATCAGGGGTTTCCAACTGGCGGCCCGCATCCGGCCCTCGAAGTCTTTTTTTGTGGCCGCGAACTAAAATATATTGGTTTTCATTTTTTTGCGGACAATTTTCGTAAAAAATCTTTAAGGGTTTTAAATACTTTTCTCGTTAAAATAAAAAAAAAAACTATTTTTTTTGTTTCTTTGAAATTTACCATACCAACAGTGCAAAAAAATTTATTTCTCAGGTTTTGCATCCAAGAAAATATTTATTCAAATACAAAAATAATCGTATATGTTGCTCTTTTTCATTTTTTTTTGTATTTAGTGAATATAATTTAGCATGTGCGAATCAGAAATTTTCTCGAAGAAATTCTCCGATTTAACTTTTGGAAACCACTCATTTTGGACGAAATTATTTACATTTGTAAATTTTAAAGCCCATAAAAGAGGGAATGAATATCATGTTTTATCTAAATTCCTTGAATTGAATATCGCATGAGCGGAAAAGAAAAAAAATTAATTTCAGATGCTCGAGAATTTCTTTGTTGTAGCTATAATTCCTAATAAGTCGAAAAAAAATGTTAATTTATCACAGAATTAAATTTAAAAAAAAAATCTTGTCATTAAGTTTCTGATTAAGAGAAGATTCAAAATGATACGTAACAAGCATTATTTGTAACGCTTTTTATTTTGTTTTTTTAATATTAAAATACTTTGATAAAAATCTGACAGCAATATTTAATATTCCTTCAAACATAAAACAGTCCTATATAAAATTTTGATAAAATTGTGGCCCGCCATTTGACTGGTGTTTTCAATTGCGGCCCCGGCCTCATGTAAGTTGGAAACCCCTGATCTAGATTTACCAAAATAAAAATAAGGATACGATGTAGTCTACAAATAAATAATGTTTTTTTTTAATATTAATACATTACACAGTTGAAAAACTTTTTTCATTGAGTTTAAAAATCTAATTACCATCTGAGGTGCAATAAGGTCACATTTCTCACGATATATACACATAAAAAATTATGCAATTTTATTACATTTCGCATGTCCTGTCTATTAAGTAGAATAACAAGGATAGATATTGCATGGTTTATTGAGCGGTATATTAAGATAAACGCCTACCTTCTAGAATATCAAAGAAAAATCCTTCTAGCATGCTCTGAGGAATGTTGTGATGACCTTCAAAATAACCACCAAGGCAATCCCCAGCTAAGGCGCCGACCAAGCAGCCTTTAAATTTAGCACCAAGATCTGTAGTTGCTGACATTAAAGCCATTTTTTTTCTAATTATGATCAAACATGAACAACTTTTGTATAAAGAGTTTGATGCTTGTAAATTTTGAAACCGGATATTGTGTGAGGATATTGAAACAGGATATCTCATAGAAAAGTGAGTTTTTCTGCTTTCACCGGAAGGTTTATACTATTCAAAATTTCGGTTGTACATGGTAAAGGATATCCAAATGAAAGATAAAGCAAGAAAGAATTAAATGACGAGTAAATAAAAAAAAAAAATAAAAAAACTTAACACTAAGTGAAATGAAAATTATTTGTTCTTTTATTTCAGCTGTAAAGTTCTTATCGTACTAGATAAGGCGAAACGATCTAATCAACAAATAAAATCGTGATATTATAATTACCGTCATTATTTCCTTGCTATTTATCATTGCGTGCATTTGCATAAGAAATTATTAATCTTTTTAGACTTCTGTGATATGTATGTATTTATTTTTTAAAAAGCAGCTTCACGAAAAAGTTTGTTATTTCAATATTTATGGTATTGCCATCGCTTGATTTTGGGATTTAAAGGCTCGAATGCGAGATCGTTCTCTGTTTTCGAAAAAATGTCGAAAACAAATTTTAGAATTTTATAACTGAAAAACGAAAGAGAAATTCGAAGTAAAAACCAAGTTCTTTTATCTTCATACATGTTGGTGACTACAAAAATGGTAATTTTATTGCTATTAGCTTTTTCTTTATGTCGAAAAATTTGAAGAAACGTAACGGAAGAAAAATAAAGTTTTTAGTTATTCTACGAGTAATTCAAAATTTAAATTAAAGGCAATTAGACAGGTATTAGAATAAGTAGCTGTAAAAATTAATATTTCTCATGTTGATAGTCAGCGCTAAACTAAATTACAAGAAAAAAAGGAGAATCAATTTTAATACTAATAACACAAAAATCCATGTCTATATCAATAACATTTTCATATTAGATTTTTTTCTTAAAAAATATTTTTCTAAAGACGGGCGAAATCCCATAATTTTTCAGCCAATAGGTTTGCATTATGAGGTAGATTTTCTAAAATAGCCGCAGTAGCAAATGTTTTTTTTCTTTTTTTTAATATTCGATAATTAAAAAAAATTATATTGCTTTGCCAGTCATGTAGGTTAAAACTCAGTTTCTTAAAATAATTTATTTGGTGACTGAGAAACTGCAAATGATTAGATATAAATAATGGCTAAGTAAAAGTATCGTTTTTCTCTCTGAGCCGACAGTCTATGTTTACAGATTTTTAAAATACTTCACTTGAATTTTTGGATTTCGGTTGAATTCTTCGCTGTTTAGTTAAGTAGAAACGTTGGAGAAGGAGTGACAGACTCATTTTTTTATAATGAACTTCTTATAACTTTATAATAAACATCATATAATTGAATTCTTATAATGAACTTCTTCCTTTCTTATAACAGAACTTCTTATCTTCTTCTATCATTTGCACTTAGTCTGCCATCTACGAGGCGTTTTCGAAAAGTAAGGATACAATGCGACATACTCACTTGAAAAATTCCATTCATATTATAAGTTACTTACTGGTACATGCCTTATTTGCATAACAAATGCTTTGACAATGGTGACAACATAATTGCCACCATTGTCAAAGCATTTGTTAAGTATGGATATAAATTTTACTTTGCTGCCTGTTGTCAGAACCACTCCCGTTATGATTTCATCATAGTCCTGAAAGTTTCACCCTGCAAGATGTTTTTTTTCAGGTAAAGGAATAAATGAAAGTGTACAAGGTTCGGGCTGTATGGCAGATGATCTGAACTTTTCTGCTTGAAACTTTTGAGTAGTGCTTTGGTTTGAAGCACACAGCGCTTCATATACGTCATGTGGTACCACGCACCATACCAATCCCAAAAGCAGAAAGTGCCTAAAACTGTGACGTACGTCACCGAACAAACGAAGTCCTGCAGAACAATTTGTATCGTGAATAAGTAACAGCGTTTTCCTGCGAACCCTCGATCACCTGCCTCCGGTAATCTTGAAGAACAATCCCCAACCCTAATCTCATACATTCTTCTGTAGATCATAATGACCTGAAGGTTCAAAAGCTTCCCCTCATAATCTTAGAACATTTCCTCCCACCTCATTCTTCACCCATACCTTTTTAGATAAATTTTCTTATGTTTCAAATTTTTGACTTAAAAATATAAACCACTTTACTCGTTTTGTTTACTTGTTAATTTCAGAGATTTTCAATTTCATAAAGTTTATGACTTTTATATTTTCCATTCCCATTTCAAAAGTAATTTGTGAATCGTGGGGACCCACGATTGACAGAATTGTTTCTAAAAGACCAAATGTTTTCGATGGAGATGAAGAGGTTGTTGGAACAACAGAACAGCGAATGTTTGTGTTTGCAAATGGTGCACCATTTGGGCACTTGTCCATTCGAAAGATTTTTAAGGCAGCCCTTATTTTAATGTTCGGACCTTCATATCATAGGCATTTAATTAATAATTCATCATCATTAACAAAATTTTGTACTTCAAAAGTGATTGAAAAAGTAACAAATCAAGAATGTTTACCTTGGTTTAAAAAAGAATGTAGTGTATCTGTGTATGAATATTGTATTTTAATAAATGAAAATACATTATTTTAACATAAAGTTGACTTTTTTTCACTGTGAAAGACTTGCAGAATATTTGTATAAATTAATAAGTCCTGTTGCAGAACATTTTAAAATATTCTGCTTAATGGGCCAAAGATATAGAACTCCTTCCCCAGATATAGAACTTAGCTGTCTGTTGTAAGAACTACTCCAGTTATGATTTCATCATAGATCTGAAAGTTTTACCCCTCAAGGTGTTTCTTTTTCAGGTAAAGGAATAAGTGAAAGTGTACAAGGCTCGGGCTGTATGGCGGAGGATCTAAACTTTTCGACTTGAAACCTTTGAGTAGTGCTTTGGTTTAAAGCGCTGTGTGAAGACGAGCGTTGTCGTACAATAAGCAAACTTCGCCCGTCAGCAAGCTCCTACGTTTGTTTTGAATTTTATGCATTTTGTATACTTTTTTCATAACCTTTTTCTAACGTAACCTTTTTTCATGAAGAAAAAGTATTACGAAATGTATTATTTTACATTTAGCGGGATTCTGAATTGACGCAGAGATTACAAAGATTTGCTGCTCTAACAAGACTTACCCTAAAAATGACAAATAAACTCAAAGAAAAAGTGAAACGTCTAAAGTTACGGTCAGTGCTGCCAATGGTCTCACAGAATCTTTTCTTTTGCTGCTATCGTTGAGATAGCTTTACTTTCCAAAAACACCTCTTATTACAAAATCCCTTCGTTATTTCACGTATTCGTTAAAATACTAAATTATAGCATAATAATAACAAAAGGAATAAGTTAAGACTAATATGATCAGTTTATATACTTTAATTCATTATTTATTTATTTAGTGTTTCACTTACCGATGTTTTATTTGTTATGGCTTCATAAATGAATTTAGAAATATATTTGACACATTATCCTTAAGAATGATTTATAATGATTGTTTTACTCATTCTATATTATAACTGATAAACATTACTTTCTAATGAAACCATTTGGTTATTGAAAATTTTATTATCACGTTAAAATTTAGATGATAATCAACAGATTCAATATTTGTTGAAGGTAAACTGATTAATAAATTAATTTTAATCATATGGAGGCCGCTTTAAATATTGATTTAGCAGTCGTTGAAGTAATTAGCACGGATCGTTGCTTTTACGAGTTATTTTAGATCTTTATCATGTGAATGAATTTCGGGCATAAGAAACTTTTGATTTTTCCCGTATTTTCAGTGGCATATTTTCGTTTTACTTTTAATTATAGAAATTATTTTAAGATATTTAAGTTAAGATTTTAAGATACTGTTAAAGTTTTTCATATTAAAAAAAATTACAGATTAATTACATTAAATGCGTCATGAAATATTAAAATTTTTAAAGGAATTTTAATAAATGTGTTCTGTTATGTATTGTCTGCCCTATTTCATGTGCTTGTTTAGTTTATAAGGCACACACATGCTTTAAAATGTCGTTTTTTCAAAATAATTCTTTTTTGAAATAATTTAAGAAAGTAAAATTGTATGATTCAATTGTTTTATTAGATGATTAAAATAGACACAGATACAAATAGTTTTTCTTAGATTTTAAATATATTTATAATCTAAAAAACCCCTAAAGTTAAAAATTATTAATTATTGTTATTAATGGGGTATATATATATAAACACAAATTAATATTGAAAACATGAATAAAAAACTAAATTGAAGAGAAACAAGAATGGGAAAAGCAATAGTCGTTATCAAGACACATCTATTGCTACATGAGATATTTCTGAGCAAAGAACAATTATCCTAAGATAAAAATTATTCTTTATATGTGTCGATATCGCAAAAAAAACTTATTGTTGTAAAAAATCATGAAATAAAAGAAAAATGTAAGAAGAAATCAAACTTACCGGCGTGAATCAAAATGCGGCTTAGGTTTCAAAAGTACAATAATAAAACAGTTAACAAAACTTGATAAGATGTAAAATATTTGAAGTTGTGCTTAAAGCTTGAATCGAATAAAATAAAATTAAAAAATATATATTTGATCGAAGAAGAAGAAAAAAATTTTTTAAAGTAAAATATTAGTGCTGCCATCTATGAGAAACAATTAGTAAAAAGGTAATAAAATTGAAATAATAATAAAAATGTTTAACGGATTGAATAAATTAGCAGTCTTAAAAAAATAAAAAAAAAAAAAAAATAAATAAATAAAAAAATATAAAAATAAAAATAAAAAATTTAAAAAAATTAAAAAAATCATTAATAGGGAAATTAATTTAAAAGTCAGTCTGTCAGGATAGAAAGCCGTTTATAGACTTATCCTTCATTCATAAAATCTAACATAATTTTACAGAATACACATATCCATCTTTCATAGGGTGACTTATTTAAAAATCAGAGCCTGCATACAGGAATAGAAAACCGTTTATAGGTTTTATTCTTCATTCATACAACCTTACATAATTTTAAAGTATACACGTATCACCTGCATTCATTTGGGGTGGTTCTTTACGAACCAGAGCCCATTCCACTTATACAAAAATAAAAATAATTAAATAAATAAATAAATAAATAAACTGTTTATTATACTGGACAATTAAAAAAATAAATTTTAAGAGGCTACAAAAATTAAAAAGTAACTAAAAAATATTTAACTAATCCAGTATAAAAGGTC